TATTTCATTTATTTATACTTTAAATGTGTTCTTTCAGTGCAGGACATCTTTTTGTTTTACTTTAAAGGGATACTAAGCAGTTTAGCTTGCTTTTAGCACCCCCTAGTGTCCGTTTGTAGAGGATTAGTGAAATGTGTGTGTGAAGTGAATAATGAGTCAGTCGTGGTGTTTTACTACCTTTAACGAGTCATTCGGAACAATAACAGCAAGACAGTAAACAACCACACTTCCTCTGATGGCGAAGAAGCCTTACCGTAATAAGTGTAGTAAGTAGCCTAGTGAACTAGACCAAATTCTTGCTTTGCAAAGTTTGGTCTAGAACCTCTGCAGACCCTAGCAGCATTCTGGCTGGCCAATCACAGCTCTCTAGAGGGGTTTCAAACACATTTAGAGCTGTGATTGGTCCACAATGGTGGGCCAATCACAGCACTTTACCTGCTTTGTGAACCAATCACAGCGCTTTATCCACTTTGAGGGCCAATCAGGGCCCTTTATTCGTCTGGTGGATGGGATGATGCAACAGAGTGGAACAAGATGGCGACAGCTCCTTTGAAACGGCGAGTCCTAATAGTTCTGGACTATTAGGACTCGGGTTGTATTAGAATCAGGAGCAGAAAGATGTATTTAAGTTATTTTTTAGAAGAAAGAATGTATTTTTGCCTTCTTCAACAACGGACCGCCTCATTTACCGACATCCGTTGCGGTGAGTACGTCACCTTGTTAAATGTCCAGTAGCACGTGGAGATCGTCTGAAAGACAACGGTGGAACCCGCCCCACGACTAAAAGCCGTCAGCATTGCCAGGCTATGTAGTAAGTGCTCCCTACCGTAAAACACCCGAGTGCTAACACCAGATATAAGAATGTATTTATCTACTTATCAACTTACTGCGTACAATTCGTCTTTGTTTGTCATCTAGGATCTTCTGGCGCTGATCCGTAACTGGCAACAGCCATTAAAATGATTTTATTGCTTAGGAAAATGGACTGAAGTTGCCTAATTTGACCAAGGGATGTCATCCTTACATACTGCACCTTTAACTTCCAGATATCTTGCGCAACATCAAATATTTAGTTGTTTACATAAAATTTCTGTTGAAAACTAGACTTGTCTGACTGCTGGGACTTGAAGAGCTAAACTAGACGTGTTTAAAGTCCTCTAGCTCCTGATGGTTGTCAGTACGATTAACGCTGTCTAAACCAGGGGTGTCAAACATGCGGCCCGCGGGCCGGATCCGGCCTGCCAGCGGGTTAAATCCGGCCCGCGAGATGGTTGTGTAAACTTTATTTTCATACTTTACAATGTAGAGTGAAAATAATTGTATCTTTGTGAGCAAGTTTCCTCTGTAATGAGTATAAATAAAACAAAGCTGCGCTCAAGGCTCACACAAGAACTTGAATCACATCCTGAAGTTGGTCGCCACTCAGGATGTGACTTCTGATATTGATGTGCTGGTGAAAGCTAAAAGATGTTAAGTAAAATGAGTCGAATATACTTTAAGTGCTGCATGAAACTGATCTAGCCATGTGATCTGTAAGCTCTTTGAATCACTAAGGAATGTTTATTTTATTTGTTGATTTTTTTATTTTCTATTTTTTCAAATTTTCAAGGACACTTCAGGTGTTGTACTTGTACGACACTGTCCTCAGGCTCCAGCCTCGTTTTATATTGATTGTATTAAAACAAAGAAAACAATCTGAAGTTTTTTTTTAATTTACCGGTCCTGCCCACTTGGGACTAGATTTCCCTCAATGTGGCCCCTGAGCTAAAATGAGTTTGACACCCCTGGTCTAAACCATCGTCACACATCCAGTCCCTTCTGTCCAGATGGAGCATCAGGATTAGTTCCTTCCTCAGAAACCTGCCTTATCCAGCCCTGTGTCTGCTGCCCCTGTTGGAGGACATATGGGGGGTTAGGGCTACTGTTCTCCAGTGTTGTGACTTCCTGGTTTATTTTGTAAAACTACTTCCTTTCCTGGGATTGATCGGATTAATTAGTTTTATGAATGAACTAGAATCCTTGTTTCGTCCTGGTTGTTTCTAAATGATCCTGTAAGCCTCGACTTGAGTTTTTGTGATTTGCTGCCTTTAGCATAGATTTGTTTGTTGTGCCTCATCTCTGCCTTTAGGTCCTCGCTCTCAACGATGTTCCACTACAACATGATGACCTAAAGCTTTAAACAGTCATCCTGTCTTCAGCTGAGAAGCGATAAATGACCCCTAACTATAAACGGCATGAAAGAAAAGTGGCTCTTTAACGGGCTTTTTGTGGCCTCTGAAAGGCCCTTGTGGGCTTCCTGTTGCTGCTAAGTCATTAGCCATTAGCCATTAGACAACTTCTTCCCAGCACTCATCACAGACTTTAAAGCAACATGTTTAAACCTCTTTCATGCTCATGTGAAGGAAAACACGTCAGGTTGAATCTGTCAGTCATCCTAATATCGTGTCAGATCAGCTTCTTTAGAAAATGTCATTTAGGAACATCCTGTGGAAAAACCAAAACCAGAAATTACCTTTAAAGGTTGTGACTGTCATGACAATAACTTTGGTTTGTTGTTTAGAAAAGTAACAAACAAACAAATACATTTTTTTGGCACACGGACTTCACATGGGCCATGTTTGGAAACAGAATGGTGAGCTGGGGCGAAGCTTTTTTCTGATTTTCAGATGTAAATTAGCCTGTAGCTGACTCCAGAATGGTATGATGCACCAACTGGCAACAGTTATGTTTGATAATTAAAGAAAGTAAACAACAACAGGAAGTTGGTCCTAGAGTCTCCGAACTAGCTGATGGATCGTGGAAGGCAATCTGGAGACGTGTTCCAGGTAATTATTGGTGTGGGAACTAGCCAACAAATCTACACAGAATGTAGCAGAAGCTAAATCCTTTAGCTCTGCGTGTCGGTCTAGCCCCACTCTATAGGAGCCTCAGCCGGCTAGACAAGTCTGCTGTCCTGCCAATCATAGCAGTGATTGGCTTG